ATTCTAGATCTCATTGGGTTAAAGATTAGGGCTTTTCTAGCATATTAAGAATCTGTTCTTAGGTATGAGCTAATATTTGAAGTTGTAACTTCAGATCTGAACTCTCTTTGGTCTTTAATTCCATAAAGCTTTCAGATTTAGCAAATATGAGCCTCTCCTTAAGTGTAAAACTCCATTGCAAGCTTGGTTTTGACATTATGAGCCTTGCATGCACATAAAGTCTGCAAATTTACGTGATAAACATGTCTTGGGAAGTTGGATCTGCAATATGGAACCTTAACATGGCTTAAAATGCATATGAATGGATAATAGAGTTGCATGGTCAACTCGGCGAGTTCGATGAAGATTGTCATGCAAGGACTTCTACATGGACTCGGCAAGTCAGAGGGGTGACTCGGCGAGTCAACTGGGGTTTTCCGGACATTTGGACACGCATGAACTCGGCGAGTTGCAAGAAACTTGACGAGTCAGTGGGGGGAATTCTCGACTACTCGAGTTCTGTAAGGACTCGATGAGTTAGTGACTGCACTCGACAAGTCAGGTCAACATGGACTGTTGACCTTAACCTTTGACTTTAACCTTGACCAAGGGTTGGCTAATTGACTTCTGGGGCATTTTGAGAAATTTGAAATTTATGAGTATGGTTCTACGGTGAATATAGGTGGTGGAATTTGTGGTGGTGATCCGAGAGTTTGAGCTTATCTTTCGAGTCGATAGTTGTGCGGTGAGTTATGCTCACTATACTCAAGGGTCTAAGGCACCAAGTATGAGCCTTTTGATTGTTAGTTAGATATGTTATGCTAGTATGATATGTTAGATCGGTATCCTAGTATATAGGAATGTATTATGTGGTATGTGGCATGATCTGTTAGGTCGGTATCCTGGTAGATAGGATGGTATTATATGGTATGTGGTATGATCTGTTAGATCGGTATCTTGGTAGATAGGATGGTATTATGTGTTATGCGGTATAATCCGTTAGATCAGTTTGTTATCTATAGACTATTATGTGATTATCTGTTATATGTACACATGTTTGTTTGGCAGTTGAGGCTTATCTGCTTTGTGCGAAAGCCAATAGACCTAGGCATTCCAACCTGTTGGTTGTGGGCCGTGCGTATTCCATCCCGAGGATGATTGGACTTATAGTATGTGGGCATTCCAACCTGTTGGTTGTGGGCCTGGGATATTCTATCTTGAGGATGATTGGACTCATAGTATGTTGGCATTCCAACCGGATGGTTGAGGGCCTAAGGTATTCCAACCCGATGGTTGACCGGACCCATAGTATGTTATTTACGATTATATGTGTATTATTGTGTATATGAGTATTTTAGAGGAACTCGCTAAGCTCTCAGGCTTACAGTTTCAGTTTATTATTTCAGGTACACTAGGGGATCGTGGAAAGGCAAAGACGTGATCGTACCGCTCCTCACTTTTTATGACTTTGTTTCTGGGAGACTCTGATATAGACTATTATGAAAACGAACTTGTAATGACTATTAGTTTTTATATGTTTTAAAAAGTTTAATTTTGGCTTGATTTTTATGGGTGTTACAAATGATGATGGGGATCTGATTTGTTCCATTGTGACCATTAACTTCATTTGTGATGCATTGTATTATTAAGATAACATATGTGTATGTTGTAATCATATTTAGTTGTTTTTGATGATCCAATATGTTGTGACGATGTGTTCAATGAATCATTAGCTAATGACCAAAGTGTGCGCATAATATTTTGATAACATGTCACACAAGGAATATTGTAATTATAATTGTCAGCTTTGTATGAAAAGACAACTTTGCAATGATAGAGAACTCCGCAAGTCAAAGTTTTGAGATACATGTATGTCATAAAAGTCTATTTCGAAAACATAAATACATTTCACAAATTGACCAATTACAACATTTGTGTTATTGATGAAAATGACGATCATTTTTAAAATGACATATCATATAACATGTATTTTTGTGATTATTTTCCAAACAAAATAACCAAGTGTCCAATTACTTTTAGAATGGATCTTTTAATCATATTTAACACGATGTAAGTGCTGGAGATAATGTCTAAGGTAATTAATTAGTTGATAGTATTTATAAACAACATGACCATTTTGAGTTAGCATCGTGACACAAATGACATTAATAAAATAGAGAAAATAAGTTGTTATTTTATTAAGAAATTAATTAAATTAAATATAATTATTTTATTAATCAATTAAATTGATTTTTAATTAATTATATGGTTGTAAATTAATTAACCCAAGAGATTAATTTGAATATTTTAGAAACTCTTGAGCATTTGGTAGATATGATTTATCTACTACCTATAAAAAGGGAGCTAAAGATCAAACTTATAGATACCTTTTCCCCTTGAATTTTCGTTCTCCTCTCTCTATATATAATCTCCATATATGAAATTCATAATCCCTCTCCCACGATTAGTGAATTTCACATAAACCCTAATAAGGTTTTATTCATTGTCTAGTTTTGGAGTCTTTAGTCCGGCTACATTAAAGGAGTTCTCTTTTGAGTTTTTCATCCATTGCAATGTTGTCATGATCTAAAGATCAAGAGGTAAGGAATCTATATTTTTTATTAAAGTATGTTATTAAAACTAGTAAAACCCAGATTTTAAGATGCATTTGCACTTAATTAAATCTTTTGATTTTTCTGCTGATTTTAAATAGAATACTTGATAAGAGATATTTATATAAAAAAACAATCATGTTAAAGAGATTACTAAAATTCATGTTTATTTCATGGCTTTTAATCCATGTTTATCTTTACTTGTCTTTTTCAAATGGGAAAGTTCCTTTGTCTAAAAAAGCTGTAGAAAGCGAATATGCCTTTATTTTGCTTAGTTACTTTACCTTTGTATGTTAAAGTTATACAAAAATAATAATAAACATGACTATTTGATAATTATTATTGATTTTTTTCTATTAATGCAACAAGAAAAAGGTCTAATTATATTTCATATATTGACATATTACATATGCCAGGCCAATCTTTTTAGATATAAAGTTTTTTGTCTGATTCATATTTATTCACATCTGTTTTTTATAAAGCTAATTAGCTAAAAAAGATAATTGAAAATTCGGTTTAATCAGATAAAAAATGAATGGCAAGTGAGAAAAAAGAAACGACTGAAAGAGGAAAATCCCTCTCGAGCTCTCCTATTTACAAGAAGATAATATATAGAAATAAAATCAACATTTTTTTGCATTTTTAGGCCATTGGGACCACACTTCAAAGGTACAACTTCCAATGAACAATGTACACATTTTCAATTAATAAATATTTATAATTAATTGGTTCAAAGATTTCGGTGATAGCTTCAAAACCAAAAGAAATTGGCTTGACTATCAATTACAACGGCCACGTTCGATTAAACAAAGTGAAATAATAAAATGTTTTTCAAACAAATAATTAGAAAGATTGAGCATTAAAAAAATAGGTGCACGCCTTTAGGGTGCTTTTTGTTTAACTACTTTGAAGTTTGAACATTGCATAAGTAACTTATTTATATGATTATTTAACATCAAAACAATATTAAAAAATATCTTGTAGTGAGATTTCAAACGGTTATTTATATAATTATTTAACATCAAAACAACATAAAAAATATCTTCTAGTGAGATTTCAAATAAATTTTCTATTGATTGTTGTAATAAGTTAGGATATATTTATGAAGCTGGTTTTTATTTCTAACGTTTTCCATAGCTTCTTTTAATGTTAAAAATTATATTAAAAACATGTTTGATAAAACTAAATATTATCTGAAAGTTGTATTTATATTTGTGTAAGTGTTCTTAAATATTTGTTAGTTTTTAAAGATGCAACTTGAAGTAGGAGTTTTAGCTATTAGCTTTTTTGGGAAAAAAACTTGAAAAAAAGTTATATATTTGTTTAACAGTACGAAGGTCTAGCTTTTAGTTAAAACAAAAAATCTAAAATCAAAAAGTTATTTCAAATAGGCATTTAACAAAAAAAAATATTTTATAAATTTACAAATTTACTTAATTATTTAAACAAAATCGAACAACATGTTTTAAATAAGTCATTTATGTACTTTTACATGTTTTAAAAACTCTGAATTATTTTTCCCAAACACTTATATACAAATAAAAATTACAACTACAAACTATTTTTGTCCAATGTAGGTTTGTTAAGTGTGGCGTCTAAATAATGATCAAGATGTGCCTTATCGCATAACGATGCGAGTTTTCTTCAAGATATGATTTTTTTTCTTGATTTTTTGTTTATTTATCGGGCCTAAACAATTAAGTTTTTTGTTAACTTTTTTATATGAAATGATAATATATCATTTCTAAAACTTAATATATTTGATATAATTCAATGATTTATCTTTTTTTTTTTATTGTATATAAAATTTCTACATCTTGAAAAACGATATAATATAGGCTTATTATTGTCGCCAAGTCCACGTGCTACTCTATTTAAAACATTGATTTAACTATTATTTTACATTTTACTTATCTAAATTAGCTTTACGACCAAACCTTAATCTTTAAAAGCTAATGAACATTGATGCATCAAGGTTATGTTCAACAAGTCACAATTAGTTTATAAATTAATTATTTTTCATATATTTTAGTTGTCAAATAGGCAAACTAAAAAATAACTTATAAATAAACTTTTTTAAAAAGTTATTCATATTAGTGTCTTAACGAGCTTGTTAAACTTTTTAAATTCTTAAAAATATCATTTATTATATATATATATATATATATATATATATATATATATATATATTATTTTAGCTAGTTTATCGGTTAGTTTGTCAAATGTTATTTTTTAATCAAATAAAATTCATTTTTCATGTATATATAATCTATATTTTTAGTTAACCCGTCAAATAGACTTAGGTTGTATATATATTTTTTTTAGAACGGCAAATAGTCTTAGGGTATATTAGAGGCGCAATAAGTATAACTGATAAACTAACTTATTCTTCGAGCATTTTTATGTTATCTTGTTTGGTGAATAAAAAATAATTTATAAGTTAGCTTTTTAAAATACTATTTATACTAGTTTTTTTAGGAGTTTTTTCAAAAAATTCGAATACAACCCTTAATTAATTTTAGAAACAAATTATTTTAAATGTAATTTTAAATATTTCAGCCGTTTTAACAAACATCATTTTTATCAACTAGTTTTTCAACAATCAACTAGTTTTTCAACTATTACGTGGGATTGGGATAGAGACTTAACATAGTCTTAAACACCAATTAAAGAAGAAACGTAATGTTTGGTGATTCAATCGTTTAAATACTTGATTTTTATGTCCCTTATTTAATTAAAAAAAAATTACGATGATGATATAGAAACAGAAATATCATGAAAATGAAAATAAGGAAATGTAATATAAAAAATTTGGTAGATATTATAAATATATTTATTCACTCTAGGGAAAAGAGAAGAGGAGCGACTAGTATGTTTTAGGTTGGAGTTTCGATTAGTAAGAAAAAAAGGGATTTGTTTCTTTACTGCTTACTCTTATCTCTCTATCAGCGGTTCCACTCCTTGTAGATTTGATATAGGTGGGGAGCCTCTTTCCATTTCACAAGCCACAAATCTTCAAAAAAGATTGTGTTTTCCATCTGGGTTTCTTTTTTTCATAATCTTTTATGTTAAAGCTCTGTTCTTGATCTGCAACTAGCTTTTCAAGAAAAGAAACGCAAAAGATGGGGGAAGAGAAGCCTGAAGTTCTTGAAGCTGTGTTGCACGAGACTGTAGATTTGGTAAATGGGTTATGGATCTGTGTTTCTCATTGTCGATGTTTTATGTTGTATGTTTTACGATTCTTTGTGGGGTTTGTTTAATTTTGATGTTTGAATGATTTTTGCAGGAAAGTATACCTATTGAGGAAGTTTTCGAGAATCTGAGATGTAGTAAAGAGGGTCTTACGAGTACTGCTGCTGAAGAAAGATTAGCCATTTTTGGCCATAATAAACTCGAAGAGAAGAAGGTGTTTACCCCGATTCAAAACCGCTCTTGATTTCTTCAGAAATTTCTTGTTTTATTTCCAAATCTTGTGATGTTTATGGTTTCCAGTACCCTTTTCCCGCTTCTTTTGGGTTTATTTTTTGTTTATGAATTTATGATGTCGGCGTTTGCAGGAGAGCAAATTCTTGAAGTTTTTAGGGTTTATGTGGAACCCATTATCATGGGTTATGGAAGCTGCTGCTATAATGGCTATCGCCCTTGCTAACGGAGGAGTAAGAACTCAAAAAAAAAAAAAAAAAATCTTCAATTTCACATCACTTCTTTATCCTTCGTTAAAACCCTAATTCATTCCAAAATTCGCAGGGAAAGCCTCCAGATTGGCAGGACTTTGTGGGTATCATCACTTTGCTGATTATCAACTCCACCATTAGTTTCATAGAAGAAAACAACGCCGGTAATGCTGCGGCGGCCCTCATGGCCCGCCTTGCCCCAAAAGCCAAGGTATCATATCATCATATAATTCCTCCGCCATAATTACACACCTCAAACACCATGATTTCGTTCTTGAATCTTGATTTCGTATCATAATTTATTAAGATTCTACGAGATGGACGATGGAACGAGGAAGACGCCGCGATGTTGGTCCCCGGAGATATAATCAGCATTAAACTCGGCGATATTGTTCCCGCTGACGCTCGTTTGCTCGATGGCGACCCTTTAAAGATCGATCAAGTACTCTCTCTCACTATTTCTTCATCGATTCCTACTTTTTTCCGTTTTGAATTCCATCTTAACTTTTGACCTTTTTAGTCAGCGTTGACCGGGGAATCACTTCCGGTGACAAAAGGCCCAGGAGACGGTGTGTATTCCGGTTCCACTTGCAAACAGGGTGAAATTGAAGCGGTTGTGATTGCAACCGGAGTTCATACTTTCTTTGGAAAGGCTGCTCATCTTGTCGACAGCACAAATCAAGTTGGTCACTTTCAGAAAGTAAGAACAACAACAACAACAAAAAAAAAATTCAAATTCTCAGATTCGTTTATCTTTCTTCTTCTTTTTCATGTTTTATATTCTTCTCAGGTGTTGACTGCAATCGGGAATTTCTGCATCTGTTCAATTGCGGTTGGAATGGTGATTGAAATCATTGTAATGTTTCCGATTCAAGATCGCCAATACAGACCCGGAATCGATAATCTCCTTGTTCTCCTCATCGGTGGAATCCCAATTGCCATGCCGACTGTTCTTTCTGTAACAATGGCAATCGGGTCTCATCGCTTAGCTCAGCAGGTTACTTTCGTAATTTTTTCCTTCAATTTTTTTTTTTTTTTTTATGTTTTTCTTTTTCTCATTAAAATTAAAATCACAGGGAGCAATAACAAAAAGAATGACAGCGATAGAAGAAATGGCAGGCATGGATGTCCTTTGCAGTGATAAAACCGGAACTTTGACTCTCAACAAGCTTACTGTTGATAAAAATCTAATCGACGTTAGTTTTGTATTTACGTTTTTACCCTTCTTTTTTCTCTTTACATCTTGTTTGACTTTTTGACCTGGTTTCTCAGGTATTTGCCAAAGGAGTAGATGCAGATACTGTTGTCCTGATGGCAGCTCGAGCATCAAGAACTGAAAACCAAGATGCCATTGATGCTGCCATTGTTGGCATGCTTGCTGACCCAAAAGAGGTAAAACAAAATCTTTTATTCTTCTAATTTTATAAAAAAAAACCCCAAAAAATTATAAGTTTTTTATCTTTTTATGTTGATAGGCTCGAGCAGATGTTCAAGAACTGCATTTTCTACCTTTTAATCCTACGGATAAGCGGACCGCGTTAACGTATTTGGACAATCAGGGTAAAATGCATAGAGTTAGCAAAGGGGCCCCAGAACAGGTAAGTATTAATTGAAACACAAACTATTTTTTATAAAAAATATTTAAAATTTTTTATAACGTTTTGATTTTTTTTTATATGAATTTAGATATTAAATCTTGCACACAACAAATCCGACATTGAACGCCGAGTCCATGCGGTCATCGATAAGTTTGCAGAGCGTGGTCTTCGATCACTCGCTGTCGCATACCAAGTAATTCATCACAATTTTTTTAAATAAATTTTGATTTTTATTTTATTTAAGGTTTTGATCGTTGTTTTTTTTGGTTAAAATAGGAGGTTCCGGAAGGACGAAAAGAGAGCCCGGGTGGGCCATGGCAGTTCATCGGTCTCATGCCGCTGTTTGACCCGCCACGTCATGATAGTGCGGAAACGATTCGAAGGGCTTTGAATCTTGGAGTGAATGTGAAAATGATTACGGGTGTGTTTTCTTTTTAAAATGTTGGAGGGGCGTTTTCGTCTTTTCCAATTGCTAATTTCTTTGAAAAAAACAGGTGATCAGTTAGCAATCGGGAAAGAAACCGGGAGGCGTCTTGGAATGGGAACGAATATGTATCCATCTTCTGCTTTGCTCGGTCAAAATAAAGACGAGTCGATAGCCGCGTTACCAATCGATGAACTCATTGAGAAAGCCGATGGTTTTGCTGGTGTTTTCCCTGGTATGTTTTTTTTTTTTTTTTTTTTAGTTTTATAAAAATGATTTTTTTTTTATAAAGTTAAATTTATATGTGTCAATGTGTTGCAGAACATAAGTATGAAATAGTGAAGAGGTTACAAGCAAGGAAACACATATGTGGGATGACTGGAGATGGAGTAAATGACGCTCCTGCCCTTAAGAAGGCGGATATTGGGATTGCTGTGGCTGATGCAACTGATGCAGCCCGTAGCGCATCTGACATAGTCTTGACAGAGCCCGGGCTAAGTGTCATTATCAGTGCGGTTTTGACCAGCCGGGCTATTTTTCAAAGGATGAAAAATTACACAGTAATGTCTCGTTATTTCTTCTCATTTATATTACAGGATGGATAATAAATTGCTTATCATTTTTTTAAAATAGAAAATAAATTGCTAATCATATTTTCTTTTCCTCAGATTTATGCGGTTTCAATCACTATTCGTATCGTGGTATGTTTTTTTTCTTCGTCACATGTACACGTTTTATGTTTATATACTTATAGGTATGTTTTTTAATTATTTTTTTTCTGGTTATTTGTATTTGTATTAGCTCGGTTTTATGCTGTTGGCCTTGATATGGCGGTTTGACTTCCCGCCTTTCATGGTGCTTATCATCGCTATACTCAACGACGGTTTGTTCCCTGTTTTTTTTTTTTTTTTTTTTTTCTGTCTGCTATTTTAAATATACCATGAGCATATCATAAACTGTATCATTTCAGGAACCATAATGACTATATCAAAAGATCGAGTGAAACCTTCTCCTCTCCCCGATAGCTGGAAATTAGCTGAAATTTTCGCAACTGGCGTCATTCTTGGTAGTTACTTAGCCATGATGACCGTTATATTTTTCTGGGCTGCTTATAAAACAGACTTCTTTCCGGTATGTACTCTTTCTGTGTCTGTGTCAGTCTGTCTGGATAAAGTGTTGTCTGGATAAATAATATTAAAAAAAGGTATCATATCAACTCACTTTATGAAAATGTATCACCAGCGTACATTTGGCGTGCCTACACTTGAGAAAACCGCTCATGATGACTTCCGGAAGCTTGCATCCGCGATATACCTCCAAGTCAGCACAATCAGCCAAGCCCTAATTTTCGTGACTCGGTCCCGCAGCTGGTCGTTTGTCGAACGCCCCGGTTGGCTTCTTGTTATCGCGTTTGCGATCGCCCAATTGGTACATTACTTTTATTCTTATATGTTTTTTTTTTGTTTAATAATATGATTGATACATAACACCATAGTTATATAATAATTTTCTTGTTTTTACTTTCTACCAGATTGCTACATTAATTGCGGTTTATGCCAATTGGAGTTTTGCTGCGGTTGAAGGTATCGGTTGGGGATGGGCGGGTGTAATTTGGCTCTACAATATCATCTTCTATTTCCCGCTTGATATTATAAAGTTTTTTATTCGATACGCGCTTAGTGGAAGGGCATGGGATCTTGTTATTGAGAATAGGGTATGCATTCATTTTATGTCGGGGGTAAAAATAAAAATAAAAATAAAAATGTTTTTTTTTTAGTAACTGATTATTTTTTTAATTTTTTTTTTTCCAGATTGCGTTCACGAGACAGAAGGATTTCGGTAAGGAACAACGTGAGCTCCAGTGGGCCCATGCGCAACGGACCCTCCACGGGCTTGAAGTTCCCGACACCAAAATGTTTGGTGACCGGACGAATGTAACCGAGCTTAACCAGATGGCTGAGGAAGCCAAACGGAGAGCCGAGATTGCAAGGTATACGGTTTTCGCCCGAATCTTTCTTAAGTTTACCGTTTTGGTCCTTTATGTTTTTCTTTTTTTGTGTTTGTGTTTTTGTTAGGTTGAGAGAGTTGCATACGTTGAAGGGCCATGTTGAATCGGTAGTTAGATTGAAGGGTCTTGACATTGAAACGATTCAACAAGCGTACACCGTTTGATGCACAAGGTACAAGCAGCATGCGGATGGGGTTAGTTTGTGAGATAGTTAAGTATGAAACGGTTGGTTGGTTGTTTATCGTGCGGTTATTTATTTTATTATTTTTTGTTTTTATGGTTTTGGCTTTGGCTCGTGATCCCATGTGTACTTGTGAACTGGGAAAAGAGAGAAAACCTTTTATGGCGTAATTTGTTGTGCATATGAAGATAAGGCTTTTGGCTTCTTAGTAATTACATTTACAGCCTATATGAAGCATACATACATCATACTAACAAATCAAGGCTTATTTTACAAAAAACAGGATTTCACATGGTTAATTGATCCTATGTTTCCTTAACAATTTACGCAGGTTGTGACAACATAATACTACACTGATTTCAGTAGTTTTACCAATTTCCACAAGCTTAGTTCCAATCTAACATTTTTCTCGTGTATATATCGATTTTTTACACAAGAAAATAATAGTGTAATGAAACCCGACCTAACAATATGATAGACACGAGGTCTATAAGGTTTTAATCTCTAATGATTGTCATTAATATGTTTAATGCAAACAACCTTTCTGATACATGGTACGGACAAAAATATATGGTGGCTGGAGACGAAAGCTTGAAACTGTATATTTTTATGGGCTAATGTGTATCAAATTTTTTGTGTTTGTTTTAAAAGGTTATTATTTATTTATTTTTGCACGTTAAAGGAATAAGCTCTCATTTTTTTGTTTTAAAATACCATTGTTACCTTTTTTATCGGGTTGAAAGGTAATATACATGCAACGGAGGAAAATATCGGTGCCAGGTCATTTAATGAAATGGCCACGTGTAGTATATTTATATTAATTTGAGTTAAATAAACCGTTTGCGTTATACAATCCCCTCCCCTTCATTGAAGAAACTCCTCCTCATTGAAGAAAACCCTTGTCCCACCATAGTAACTGAAGATTGATGGTTATATTCATCTCAATCAAAGTTCATTTCCAAGGTGTGTTCATCAACAAACTTTTTTGCTATTCTGATGGTGTTCATCATGTATTCGACAACATCGATTTTGTTGGTATGTCACATAATGAGTTTGTGGGTTTTCTTGAATGATTCACACAAGAGAAGTGTGAGAAACTTTATTATTGTCAACCCGATTTACAAATCTCAGAAGGCTTAACCTTGATTTCTAATGAACTTCAATATCAAGAATTTATAGACATTGCTTATCGATGTGGAGTACAAGTTCCTGTTTACATGGACCATTTTGGAACTACTGTGCACCTAACTAAGGCAAATGAAAATGAAAATGAGGTTAATTGTTTTGTGAAGTCAAACATGTCAATCGAAAGGGAAGAAAGTATTGACCTAATTGACTTCATGAGTCCACAACAGAGCAACATGGAAGGAGTAACCTATGAAGGAGTTAGTCAGGCAAATGGAAATGAAGATGCCACAGAAGGTGATCCAAATTGTGATGAAGATGAGAATATCCCAGATGTGAAAGGAAAACAAATGTTTAATGAAGACATCTTGGAAGAAGCAGTTTCCAATTCTAGGTATGAGGTTCACGAACCCTAAACAATTAAAATTCATGCTTTGTAATTATGCTGTAGCAAAAGGGTATCAATTGTACTTTTGAAAAAAGTGTTGGTTAAGTGTAGTGATGGTCAATGCACTTTTAGGCTGTGGGCATCATGGATGAGTGAGGAGCACTCATTCCAAATCAAGTCCCTTATCATTAAGCATAATTATGCAAGAAATTTTAAGTTAGGGTAAATTGTTAATTACAGATGGATTGACAGTTATTTCACCAGGGAAGTTCTTGAGAATCAGAAATTCAATGTTAGGATGTTAAAAGAGAAAGTAAAGACTAAATTTGGTATAGAGGTTAATATGGGACAATGTAGGACAACCAAGCAACATGCAATGGCTCTTGTTGAAGGTACCATAATGGAAAATTATGCAAAGTTGTGGTCCTATGGTGAGGAGATAAAAAGGTCTAATCCAGGGTCAACAGTTAAGTTTTCTGTGAACTCTATGCCATATGGGAATACTTACTTTAGCAGGATATATATATATATATATATATATATATATATATATATATATATATATATATATATGTGTGTGTGTGTGTGTGTGTGTTTTCATGCACTAAAGGAGGGTTGGAGAAGTGGCTGTAGAGAGATAATAAACTTAGATGAGTGTTTTCTAAAAGGAATGTGTACTGGTCAGTTATTATGTGTTGTTGGTAGAGATGATAACAATCATATATTCCCAATAGCTTGGGCTGCCGTTTGTGTTGAAAATAAAGACAACTGGAAATGGTTCTTAGAAAACTTGCAAGAAGATCTGCATCTTGAAGGTGGGTTTGGTAAGACATTGATGTCAGATCAACATAAGGTATGTTTTTGTTCATAATGACATGGCTTATTTGTTTCAAATGTGATCTACTTCTAAATGTTTTGATAATGTAAATGCAAGGGATAATTGAAGCAGTGAAGGATTTATTTTCAGAGATAGAACATAGGCAATACTGAAGTTAGTAGATCACACATAGTATCCAAGTTATGAAAAAAGATTGTTTGTGGTGTTTGTAAAAAGGCAGGCCACAATAAGTCAACCTGTGATGTAGTGTCAAAGCCCCAAAAAAGTAAGGTAAAAAAGAGGAAGACTGAAGGTGAAGGTGAAACTAGTAAGGTGAAGAAAGTGAAAGCTGAAGCTAGTACATTGAAACAAGGGAAGGGTCAAAGTGCAAAGGGGAAATGGTGTAAATAAGGGAAAGGGTGAAGGTGAAGGTGGAAGTGGAATAGGTTTGAAAACGGGACAAGGTGAATGTGGGTCAATAAGTGTTGTGAATAAGAAAATGGTAAAAAAGAAGGTACATTGAAGTTAAGAAAAAAGTCAGAGAGAATAATAAAGAAAAAGTTGGCAAAAAAGGTTGAAGGCAAAAACAGTGAAGGTGATACATCAACCAAACCAATGGACTTGGATTAGAGGTGTTTGTGGTTATGGAGTATGTTAGTTACGTTTGTTAGTTTGTCATTAAAACACCAAGTTAAGACATTAATGAATGCATGGATGTTTGTTTGTTGTTTGTAACATGAATGTTAGTATTTTTGGTTTAAAACATTCCATGAATGTTAGTTTGTGATTGTAACATGAATGTTTGTTTACGATTGTACTTCCAAGGTAACAATGTATGTTAGTTTTTTTGGTTTAAAACATATGATTGTACTTCTAGATAACAATGTACTTTGACTACTTTACTAATATTTGAATAACATTATATGTAAAACAATGGTTAATAAATTAGTTTCATATAATAATGTACTTCCACATAAAAATGTACTTCCACATGAAAAAATCAAATCAATATACAATTAACATAAGAAAAGGTACTTCGTATACATTACTAAATATTCGAATAACATCATACGTAAAACAATGGTTAATAGGAACTAATAGAAACTACATTTCATTTCATTCATAGAAGAGGCCATACATACACTACAATTGAGGTTATTGTGTTACCAGTAACCCCCAAAAAAGATGGTTCTAAGAACCCTAACACCGTCAACCCCAATAACCAACAACACATACCTTAATAACCAATAACACATACACTAATACATACATATTATACTAACAGATGACGAACTTAGACAAAAACAAACACACTTCGACAACCCCAATTACCCAAAAAACGCTAATCGTCATCGTGCTACCTACAAAATAAACTACACCCCCCCCCCTAAAAAAAATCCAAACACAGAGCATTCGACACAAACATGAACCCCGATCAACGACATCACTGCAACTCCAACATCACCCATCACAGTCACTATCCTTTTCAAGTAGCATATTTCCTCCCTAAAATCGGCAAGCTGTTGTCGCATTTCACCTTTCATTTCTTCAATTTGTACTTGGGTTTCCATGGCGTGAAGCTCGTAATCAGTTGGTATGTCTAGGTCCGAAACTCTGAAACCACCAGGTCACACCCCAAAACCAAGAACGGCGGAAACGTTCCGGGGTGGAGGACGTCATGTACAGTATCACAACAATGTAAAGTAGTAAACAAGCAACAACATCATCCATTTCATTAATAAGACACCAAAATATACAATCAAAATAAAAGACGAGTCTTGTCTGTGCTCCGTCTTCTCAAAACCTGGCCATCGTACCTGTCCACTGGTGACCTGAGAATACAAGTTATTCTGAAAGCGAGTATCAGCCTAAAGCTGGTGAATTCATAAGTATTTAAGTGTCATTGTCTTGTTTTGGAAAGCTGTTATGTATGCTATGTAAATCTTTGAATGAAACAGTTGATATAAGTATGAAAACCCTAGAAAAACCCTTATTTCCTACTAGTATGAAATGTAGTCTTCTACCAAGACCCGAATGTTTTGTAAGTGAAAATGATAGTTTTTCCTTTTCTTTTGACTATTACTAAAAGTACTTAGTCTAACTCATCGTTTATGTGAATGTATCACAAAATAAAGTAATAGGAAAATGTACTAGTGTAATTGTTATCCTTTTATATTAGGATTAACACGGCATCACGAATAGCGAAATGTATAACCTTTGAACATCCGTAGATTGTTCAATTTTCCTCTGTAGCTACAGCAGGTGGGAGGAAGGGTTAGTCCCGTAAAGGTACTCCTAGTATAAGTTTAACCGTAGGCATCCGTAGATGTTCATCAACCTCTGTAGCGAACAGTAGGCCCAAGGAATGGTTAGTCCCGTAAAGGTACTCCTAGTATAAGTAATAACCGTAGGCATCCGTAGATGTTCATCTACCACTGGTGCTAACAGCTGGGATTCGGAATGCTTAGTCCCGTCTAGATATCCCGTTGAACTGGGATAGGCAGGAAAATTTACACAGAAGGTACTAATAAATCATCCTAGTAAATCGAGATACAGGTATTCAAGTAAGTGTATACAGGTAAATGTATCTATTTAAAGGTACTCATGTAATGTATTCAAGTAAGGTACTCATGTAAGTGTATCCATGTAAGGTACTCATGTAAGTGTATTCATGTAACATGCAATGTATAATATAGACTCATGAATGAACTGACTCTGATGTAATTCCTTGTAATAGGAATAATGTTTTGTATCTTCTAACTATCCCTATAATAGTTAACTGGAAGGTAATTGGTTGTCCAAGCAGGTTTATACACCCTTGCTACACAAAAGAGTGTGGGAACTGAATGAAGGATGAAAACTATAACATCAATACATATATAAGAACATAAGTGTATATATATAGTTTTGTTCAAGAAGGTAAAAATGGTTTTGTAAGACATTTATGAGTTTTTGAACAATAATTAACAATGACTTGATGTCATTTTAATAAACATTTCAAATGTAATACTTTTGCTATCAAGGTATTTTTAAGATATAAAACCATTTCATGCATCACATTTTGTAGTATGTGACATCAGCTGAATGAAAAAACAGTTATAAATACATATGATTGATTTAATAACATGCTGTTTTCTACCTGTATTCCCCCCATTAAAGCATTTAAAATCATTTAAAACATTGATTAAGGGGTATGAACTCACCTGAAGATGGTGGTTTGGATGAACTGAACGGTGTAGGATTGTTAAGTGTCAAGTGAGGACTTGTACACACACTATGATCCTAATGAACATATAATCACACATATATGCACCCAATTAGTCTTAAACTACTAATTGTAAATGTTAAGACATCCTAGAACATAATAAACACTTTATATAAGTGTTATAATCCCTAAGGATTGTATCTAAGTTGTTGTGGGACGAGGCTAATGGGTTTAGGGTTCCAAAGGACCCCATATATGAGTTTACTCTCCAATAGAACTTATAAGGAGTTTACGGTCGTAAACTCTTGAGTTTACGGCCGTAAGCTCCTAAGCTTAATGCCATTTTGTGTTTTGAAGTGTTACATGATCCCTAGAAGCAATTCTACTTGGTGGTTTAATCCTTGGAAGGGTTTAGGGCACTAATACACTCCTTTGAGGGGCTTCAGATTTTATTATTTATTTAATAAATAAACGGGGTGTTACAGAGGAGCCGAAGAGCCTTGACCGAGAAGAAATCATTTCAATCCCCATTCCATAACCACCTGTAACAAACATTAGCAAACTGGAAATCATTTAAGACATTCATTAAAATGGATAATTGAACAGTTTCTCTTTATCTTCTAAGCTGTCGAGACCAGCTTGGATTCCATCTTAAATGTGCTCTAGCATCAATTTTTAGTCTCTCCATGACAAGATAGTCTTTACTTGTTTCCAAATTATATAAATTAGGACACAACTCCTTCAAAACAACATCACCATACCATGTGTCATTCCAAAAATACGTTTTATCCCTAACACCCACCACTCTTTTAAACAAATTGATTAAGATAACCCTTTACATTTATTAATTACAGACTTACTTGATGAATTAATTTATACCGAATCATATTTCTCCATTTTTTGGTTTTTTAACTTGTATGTATTCACGTGACTGTGCTCATCAATTTTTCTTGTGTTATGATAGTGGAGAGGAAGAGTTGGTCGCGTGCAAACTAGGGAATGCTACCACTTGTATCCCATATATATATATATATATGGGTAAATTACACCAGTCGTCCCTCGTGGAGGTGCCAAAAAGCGTGTTTAGTCCCTATTTTAAATAATTAGCTCGGACAGTCCCTCGTTTGTTTAAAACTTGCACGTTTAGTCCCTATTACCATAAAATGACTATTTTACCCTTAATAATTTTTTTTATTTTGTTTTATTTATTTATTAGTTTTAAATAGAAAAAAAATAAGAAAACAAATATCCCCACCCCTCTCCTTTTCATTTCCTGCAACAAGATTCTCCGGACCCACCACCACCTATCACTACCAGCTCTTCCGACACCACCACCTATCATCGTTAGCTATTCCCCTGTTTAGCGCCTTATCCATAACCCTAATCTCACAAAAACGACCATCGATTTCACAGAAAACCACCATTATCACCAATCACAGCCACCAATCTCCACAAAAACTACCAGCGGGACCATCACCTACCTTACTTTATCTGCTGATCTTTACATGATCAAACTTGCAACTCAAAAGAAAGAAGAATGGTGAATAAGAATCTCTGATTGAGAGATACAGGGGCGAAAGGTGGGTGATAGAAAAACATACATTTGCGATCGATCCACCCGTCACCTTCACACTAGATTCGAGTGCAACTGTGGAGCTTGATGATCTCCATATCTCTGCCAATTTGCAATGATGCAGGAAAAGATCGAAACCCTAGCCGCCGTCGGTGGCAGTTGTGGAGCTCGACGCATATGTCGAAGCCCTAGCCGCCATTGATCGGATATGTCAAAACCCTAGTCGTGGAGAGTTGTGTTGATTTGGAGACGAAGACTGCGACACTGTCATGAGGTGGTGATCATCAATCGGAGAATCGAAAACGATGGGGGATGAGTACTAGATCATCAGTGACTGGAAATAAACAAAGGAACTTCATCTATCGTCACCGGTTCAAACGTTGATGGTGATGAAACGATATTACACAGACGATGGGAGGTTGTTCATCACGGAAGAGAAGGTTGAGATTCCAGAATGAAATACCCATCACTGTCCTTCGTGTGAAAATGGAGAAGTGAGTGAAACTGTGGAGGAGGATGAGAGAGAGAGAGAGAGAGAGAGAGAGAAGTGGTTGTGGTATTTTCTGGCGTATGAGAGAGATAGAGATTTGAGAGATTTCTTTTTATTTTATTTTTTATTAACAAATAATAGTAGATTAATTAAAAATAAATATCCAAGGGCATAATGGTCATTTCAAATATGGTGTGGACTACATTTGCAACAAAAACACATATCAGGGACGAAGCGTGCAAGTTTTAAACAAATTAGGGACGGTCCGAGTTAATTTTTTAAAATAGGGACTAAAGACGCTTTTTGGCACCTGCACCAGGGACGACTTATATATATATATATATATATATATATATATATATATATATATATATATATATATATATATATATATATATATATATATATATGATTTTGCTGAATAACAAGATAGAATATGGAACTTTTGTGGCAAGACATAAATAAATAATTTATATAAATATAATGTTATTAACTTACTATAAATAAAAAATTTATATAAAATATAATGTTATTCTAACCATGGTTAGTTCCAACGTGCAGATATATCAGCCATGGTCTAACAGTCAGACGCTCCTCCCACGCTACTCGCATTTTGTATGCTCAGAGAATAAACCCTAAAAGTTCAGCTGATTACCGTCTCTCTCCGTCGATCGTGCCATCATTCTCTCATCGGCAGAATCAAAGGTTCGATAAATCTGAGCTTACATGAATTGTTTCGTATAATTTAATGATTTTGTAAGAACATCTAAACCCTAAACTGCTAATTAGCTAGTTTTTTTGATTTGTTTACTGCAAATATTCGTCTCAACGGCGTTTTTCCCGGAAAATGCAGTAAAATTTGGTGGCGAAAACTTTTTGTTGCTTGTTGGTTCTGTAATCGAAGTGATAATAAATATTGATCTTGTTTAACAAGTTTTCTCTTGGGCAAAATTTGATTGATTACCCCTCACTGTTGACTGCTGAGTATACTCTTCTTACCCTAGGTGTTTAGTGATTTCAGCTAGTTTGAGTATATTATTTAATACAAATTGTTGTTCTCGTTGAAAAAAAGGAAAGTAACTTTAGTTTCAAAACATTGTGCAGTATAATTAGCAGATATGGTGAAGGATTCGATGGACAAGACAGATGATGAAGCAAGCATTTCAAAAAAGCCGAAAATGAAAAAGGTAGAAATAACCCGACCTATTCCACTAGCCCCCACCTCAGCTCTAGCGACATCAAACAATACTAGATGAACTATACCTGCTCCATCATCTGCAGCCCTAACCCTAGAAGCAAAAAAGCACCAACTGGACCTCCTGCAACGTCAAAGGGTACTAAAAGCAAAAAAAGAACCAGAAGGACTTTTTGCATGCGCTATGATGAAGAACAGAAATTAGGGTTTGATGGAATAGGATCAAACAGAGAAAGTTCGAAAAGAAGAAGATGATGAAATTGACTAATTGATTACACGATTAACACAATCTAAAAGATTGCCCAGGGAATCTCCCTCTCTCTAAGCCGAAAGCTTAAGAGCCAATACAAACACTATCCCATTTCTAGACCTCCCCTTAATGTGACATTTCTCTCTATTTATTATAATTCTAACCAACCTAGATGAATTTACTGTTTTACCCCTTATTGGGCCTTGTAGATATAAGTCTTGCTTTAATACTGTATTGGGCCTTCTAGATTCCTATCATTACTCCCACCATCAAAAAATTCTTGTCCTCAAGACTTTTGTTAAGAAATTGGCTCTCAATTGCCCATGCTTCCTCCACTATGGCCTTCTCCCTTTCCATAGGATTAACCACCACTCAATCTTTTTTCCAGTAAGTAATGATTGAACATATAACAAGTATAGCAATGGGGATCCTCCAATCCGAAGCACTCAATTCCTGTTCTAATAGCAAAGCTTGTTCAACGAGAGAACTCATTGCTTTCAGTACACAATGATTCTCCATTGGTGGTTTTCGACCATACATAATCTCCCCTGAAGTTGAAAGCATACCAAAACTTAGCCCAAACAATTCCATTTGGCCACCAACGGAGCTAATCCCTAAGATGATGACTTACTGGTCCCACTACTATCCAAACTGAAAGTAATGAAGAGCCTATTAAGGACTTGTTGGTCAGCACAAACCACTTCTGGATAGAAACTAGATAACCCTGATACATGCCTCGCCCTTGAGGATGAGCCAACACTCTTTGACACCTCAAGCATATCGCTAACTTGTCCTTGATTTGATCAACCTCACACAAGGTTTTGAGCCAAACCCTTCCTAAGACCATGTCTAAACGTCCCTCATCACATATGCATCCAGAATATATTCATAGTTAATTACCAGGCTTTCAGGTACATCCCTTCCTGATCAATAAAGACCTTATGGTTGTCTCTTGGCTTGATGTTAATTCCAATACAACCTGGCAGAGTGCGACTTGTATGAAATATGCTTTGTAGTAGTATAACCAATACGCCTTCAGTGATAAGACGATCAAGAATTCTGGGCTTATGGAACAACAGTCGAGCAGCCTCAATTGTTTTCTTCCCCATCATTTTTGCCATTAGAGACCAATTACAAGTTTCATTGAATTTTGAAAGTTGAATCTCCTGTGTTTCTTTATAGAATTTATCTTTAGTATTTAACCCATCTTTTAACATCCTTGTATAAACAGCCCATAATTCACCTTTTGCCACAAAGCTTGAATCTAAAGAAACTACTCTTATACCAAAATTATAAGTACCTTGATCACAATGTTTGGAATACGAGTCTAGTACTAGCGACAGGGGTATAATTCCATCACCACATGAATGCATTGGGGTATGAGGATTATTTAGGTTGTTGGGTATCTTGTTTTGTGATTTGATTAACCCTGGTGAGGAAACTTTGGAAAAGAAGGGTATTTGATGGTTATCAGATTGTCCCAGATTGAGTCTACGGCCTTTTGGTTCTGACCCTTTCATTACTACCATGCTGCATTGTATTTCTTCCATATAGTGTTTAAGTTCTTGTTTCCATTTCTTATCCAATATGACCCCATTGACTAGATTGTACCTTTTTTTTTTTTCCATTCTGTCCGTGGAAGAGGTCGAACACCTAGATCGTTACACTTAAGGAACTGAACCGCTACTAGGAAATCACTTCCAGATGGTCGGGATGTAAGAGACACTTTAATGGGATTTCCTTGAAACGAAGGTTTATATGAATGTTGGATTTCAAACCTGTTACAACGTTGTAACATGTCAAATTGAAATCCATCCCGTGTGATTGATTCAGAAATCTGGGTAATATGATGAAGAAAAGGATCACCGTGAATGTTGAAATACAATTTTGCCTTTTGCTGAGGGTCGAATCCATAGAACTCGAGTAGCTTGATTTCTTATCCACCTAGGGCAAATCCATCAACTCAACTGGAATTGCATTGGAAGGAAGATAAGATTGAAAATCGCTAGCCATGTCAGATGTCTCTTCAACCGTTGTTAATGATAGAGGTGGTTGTAGAAACAACGGTGGTGTTTTGGATTCCACTTCCGACGCATAAACCACTGATAATAATTCATCTTCTGGCGATGTGTTGCTGCATTCATGATCGACTTCATCCAAAACCGTTGGAGCTGCCGACAACGTATCCCTAGAAGCATCATCAACCACGGGTTCTAGTAACTTCACAATCGAATTTGGAAAATTGCTAACATCAGAGAAAAACTCAGGATCCAGTTGCTTCATCCAAGTCAGCATTGCTTTTTGGAATTCACGTTCTTCTTCTCGTTCACGATCCCGGATTGTGCGAATCTCATTCATAGTAGCTTTAATCTTTAAAATCTGTTCCACATGGTCATCTAAAAGTAAATCCTGAGATCGAGTCTCAACTGTTGGCTGAACCATCCTCCTCATATAGTAGAATGTGGCAGGTCAAGGGCAGATCAGACCAATGATGAAGAACATAAATTAGGGTTTTCTGAAATAGGATCAAACAGAGAAAGATCGAAAAGAAGATGATGAAATTGACTAATTGATTACACGATTAACACAATCTAAAAGATTGCCCAAGGAATCTCCCTCTCTTTAAGCCGAAAGCTTAAGAGCCAATACAAACACTATCCCATTTCTAGACCTCCCCTTAATGTGACATTTCTCTCTATTTATTATAATCCTAACCAACCTGGATGAATTTACTGTTTTACCCCTTATTGGGCTTTTTAGATATAACTCTTGCTTTAATAGTATTGGGCCTTCTAGATTCCTATCACGCTACTCTCCATCAAAATAGAAAGCATGAATGATGATATAATTGATGCTCTCCAATGATTTCTATATGTCCAAAGTTATAGACACCTTTGAAGATAATCCATTCAAAATGAATTTGACTTTTTCCTGCATTTGAATAAATGGTGGAATATCTATTGTTGCAACATTCTGCAGTTCCGAAGGCATCAATAAGCCATGCTTACTCCGGAGATGACGAGCCAAATGAACTAAGTAAACAACAAGAAACAAACATGTCAAATTCATAACTGAATTAAAATTCAATCTAAAAGATTCAAAGACATATACCTGTAGTTGTCCCTCCCTGGTTCGCAGATTTGACAACTGTCATAGGTATTTCATAAAGTATTTCGATGGGAAAAATGAGTGCATAGCCTGTTGTCAAATCTACGAACCAGGGACAACTACAAGTATATGTCTTTGAATATTTTAGATTGAATTTTAATTCTGTTATGAACTTGACATGTTTGTTTTTTGTTGTTTCATTTGGTTCGTCATCTCTGAAGTAAGCATGACCTATTGGTGCCTTTAGAATTGCAGAATGTTGCAATAATAAATATTCCAACATTTTTCCAAATGCGAGAAAAAGTCAAATTCATTTTGAATGTATTATCTTCAAAGGTGTCTATAACTTTAAACATATAGAAGTCATTGGAGAGCATCAATTAAATCAACATTCATGCTTTCTTTGTGGATGGAGAGTGATGCATGCAAAAAGTCCTTCTGGAGGTGTCACCCGTGTTCAACACTGCCAACAATGGTGAAGGCAAATTTTAATGGATGTTCTTGAATGATATGATCTGAAGGACAAGATAATCGCATGCACTTACAAGATAAGAACGGGAGATGGTCAATGTGAGTTATCCAATAAGTTTTGCCTTCCCTGTTTTTTTCCCTAAAGCAAGGATATCCTTAGCTAACTTAGATAACTTGGGGTAAGAAATAAGAGAATCCGCCCACCATTCACACGGATCTTTGTCAACAGGAAGCCGATCAAGGGTTTTGATGTATGCTCGTAGCTCTTCTTCAGAATCTAATTCAGCCTTTGGAGGCTTGACAAGAAATGACCTTGCTGGTTGTGTTTGGGAGGTGGCTTTGATGGGTAACTTTTGTTGAAATATTCTACCGACTTCATAATGTACTCTTCTCTCTCTTTCGACTGAAATATAAGCCAACTTAGATAACTTGGGGTAAGAAATAAGAGAAGCCGCCCACCATTCACACGGATCTTTGTCAACAGGAAGCCGATCAAGGGTTTTGATGTATGCTCGTAGCTCTTCTTCAGAATCTAATTCAGCCTTTGGAGACTTGACAAGAAAGGACGTTGCTGGTTGTGTTTGGGAGGTGGCTTTGATGGGTGACTTTTGTTGAAATATTCTACTGACTCCATAATGTACTCTTCTCTCTCTTTCGACTGAAATATAAGCCAACTCTCACCTCCTCTGATTCGGGGGTCTAGCTAGAATAGTGCAGATAAAACAAAATATTATGTACAATTCTTTACTTATATCTCTTAAATCGTTCTCCATACCATATGCCCTTGCCTTTAACCAATCCGGGCAGTTTTTGTTTAGTTTAAGCCCTTTCCTTAAAGAATTCATCATCGAAACCGTAATCTCAATAGTAGACATCTTCTGATTACATATTTCTTTTGTTGTTTCGTAGACAATCTCAAGATAACCCACAAAGAGCTTTATGGTGTTTGTTTCATTTTGGTTCAATGCCATATGATTGAACTTCTGTCCAGCTTTTTCAATTAAAGTGTTCACCTCTTCAATTTTATGTAATTATATAAAAATCCAGTTAAAAAACTAAGACAAAAAAATTAACCAAATTATTGCTTGTATATATATACCTCACTAACAATTTTAAGCATTAAACACGTCAGCATCCATTGTGTGGAAAAATCGACAACATCTCTGCTCAACAACATTTTCCTCACCCAAAGAAGAATGTAATAGGTTCTTAAAATCACCACTAGCGTGCTCTATAGAAGACAACAATAACCACATATCCTGGACTTTTTGTACAAGGAAATAGTTTTCCTCCAGAAAATTCGTAATGCAGTTGAGCAGAGATGTTGTCGATTTTTCCACACAATGGATGCTAACGTGTTTAATGCTTAAAATTGTTAGCGAGGTATATATACAATCATCCATTGTGTGGAAAAATCGACAACATCTCTGTTCAACAACATTTTCCTCACCCAAAGAAGAATGTAATAGGTTCTTAAAATCGCCACTAGCATGCTCTATAGAAGACAACATTAACAACATATCCTGGACTTTTTGTACAAGGAAATAGTTTTCCTTCAGAAAATTCGTAATGCAGTTGAGCACAGATGTTGTCGAGAAAAAGTCAAATTCATTTTGAATGAATTATCTTCAAAGGTGTCTATAACTTTAAACATATAGAAGTCATTGGAGAGCATCAATTAAATCAGCATTCATGCTTTCTTTGTGGATGGAGAGTGATGCATGCAAAAAGTCCTTCTGGAGGTGTCACCCGTGTTCAACACTGCCAACAATGGTGAATGTAGATTTTAATGGATGTTCTTGAAGGATATGATCTCAAGTACAAGATAATCGCATGCACTTACAAGATAAGAACGGGAGATGGTCAATGTGAGTTATCCAATAAGTTTTGCCTTCCCTGTTTTTTTCCCTAAAGCAAGGATATCCTTAGCTAACTTAGATAATTTGGGGTAAGAAATAAGAGAAGCCGCCCACCATTCACACGGATCTTTGTCGACAGGAAGCCGATCAAGGGTTTTGATGTATGCTCGTAGCTCTTCATCAGAATCTAATTCAGCTTTTGGAGGCTTGACAAGAAAGGACCTTGCTGGTTGTGTTTGGGGGGTGACTTTGATGGGTAACTTTTGTTGAAATATTCTACCGATTCCATAATGTACTCTTCTCTCTCTTTCGACTGAAATATAAGCCAACTCTCACCTCCTCTGATTCGGGGGTCTAGCTAGAATAGTGCAGATAAAACAAAATATTGTGTACAATTCTTTTTACTTAAATCTCTTAAATCATTCTCCATACCACATGCCCTTGCCTTTAACCAATCCGGGCAGTTTTTGTTTAGTTTAATTCATCATCGAAACCGTAATCTCAATAGTAGACATCTTCTGATTACATATTTCTTTTGTTGTTCCGTAGACAATCTCAAGATAACCCACCAAGAGTTTTATGGTGTTTGTTTCATTTTGGTTCAATGCCATATGATTGAGCTTCTGTCCAGTTTTTCCAATTAAAGCGTTCACCTCTTCAATTTTCTGTAATTATATAAAAATCTAGTTAAAAAACTAAGACAAAAAAATTAACTAAATTATTGCTTGTATATATATACCTCACTAACAATTTTAAGCATTAAACACGTCAACATCCATTGTGTGGAAAAATCGACAACATCTCTCCTCAACTGCATTACGAATTTTCTGAAGGAAAACTATTTCCTTGTACAAAAAGTCCAGGATATGTGGTTATTGCTGTCTTCTATAGAGCACGCTAGTGGCGATTTTAAGAACCTATTACATTCTTCTTTGGGTGAGGAAAATGTTATTGATTTTTCCACACAATGGATGCAGAAGTATTTGATGCTTAAAATTGTTAGTGAGGTATATATACAAGCAATAATTTTTGTTAATTTTTTTGTCTTAGTTTTTTATCTTGATTTTTTATATAATTATAGAAAATTGAAAAGGTGAACGCTTAATTGGAAAAGGTGAACGCTTAATTGGTGGGTTATCTTGAGATTGTCTACGGAACAACAAAAGAAATATGTAATCAGAAGATGTCTACTGTTGAGATTACGGTTTCGATGATGAATTCTTTAAGGAAAGGGCTTAAACTAAATAAAAACTGCCCGGATTGGTTAAAGGCAAGGGCATGTGGTATGGAGAAGGATTTAAGAGATTTAAGTAAAGAATTGTACACAATGTTTTATCTGCACTATTCTAGCTAGACCCCCGAATCAGAGGAGGTGAGAGTTGGCTTATATTTCAGTCGAAAGAGAGAGAAGAGTACATTATGGAATCGGTAGAATATTTCAACAAAAGTTACCCATCAAAGTCACCCCCCAAACACAACAGCAAGGTCCTTTCTTGTCAAGCCTCCAAAGGATGAATTAGATTCTGAAGAAGAGCTACGAGCATACATCAAAACCCTTGATCGGCTTCCTGTCGACAAAGATCCGTGTGAATGGTGGACGGCTTCTCTTATTTCTTACCCCCAAATTATCTAAGTTAGCTAAGGATATCCTTGCTTTAGGGAAAAAAACAGGGAAGGCAAAACTTATTGGATAACTCACATTGACCATCTCCAGTTCTTATCTTGTAAGTGCATGCGATTATCTTGTCCTTGAGATCATATCCTTCAAGAACATCCATTAAAATCTGCCTTCACCATTGTTGGCAGTGTTGAACACGGGTGACACCTCCAGAAGGACTTTTTGCATGCATCACTCTCCATCCACAAAGAAAGCATGAATGCTGATTTAATTGATGCTCTCCAATGACTTCTATATGTTTAAAGTTATAGACACCTTTGAAGATAATTCATTCAAAATGAATTTGACTTTTTCTCGACAACATCTCTGCTCAACTGCATTACGAA